ACATATGGAAGAATAGAGTGATTGCGTCTTTTGCTGAAGTTCTGCAAGACTTTTCTTCTGTGACTGTGCAGCTGCATTCCGATACGTAGCGGCCAGCTCAGCCAGTCGTGCATGGATTTTTCATCTACCTGATTTGATGCTAGTAATCCATAATTATCTCATTACTAATAAACTCCAAAAAGAGTAAACAGGTTATAGATACTCTTTACAGACTCTATCTTATCTTTGGACTAGTTTCACAACAAAAGCAAGACAATAGGAAGTGCAATCTTCACCTGAGGTCCAATTTGTTCTACTATGTCCATCACAATTTCCTCAGTACGATACTTGCATTGGTCAACCATTCTGTGAGCGTCTGCAAGTACGTTTCATATGTAAGTGGAAGAACAGAGGACGGCATTAGGTTGTCCTTACATAGATCTAAACACAAATAAGCTATATATTTAATAAATTAAATATATATATGTATGTATATACTATATATATATATATATATATATATATATATATATATATATATATATATTGACGACGCTATATGATATGAATTTCTCGACTATGTCGGGAGGTGAACATGCGTTCGACTCGTACTAGAGGCGCGTGCTACCAATACATTACAGAAGCCAGCGCTCTGCTACCACTCTTTGCTTCGACACTAATAAATTAGATTTTAACTTCATATCTGTTCCCTTCCTACGGGCTTCTCACATGATCTATAGGGTTACTGGCCGGTATACTCCTACATGCTGCGATGTAACGGAGGCTAAACGCAGAACAAAGGGGACCAGAAAAGCTCTGAGTAAGGTCGACTGGGAGGTGGAGATTGATGTTTCAATAGATCAACTGAAAACGCTACAAACAACTACCACCAACATGAGAGTGAGCTATAAGCATCGTGACTGAAGAGTATTTCTATGACATTCCAACTGCCACTCACAATGAGAGGCCATTCCAAACAATGTCTGCCGAGTTATGTAGAGGCTTTCACATACCCAGCTGAAGTCGTAGTCGGCACATCTTTTTGTAATTCACAAAAAGCGCAAACTAATATAGTACATACAATTAAAGTATAATTTAGCTTTAGTTATATTGAAACTCTATAGAAAGAAAATTTTGCCCCATCAGAATATTACCAATAATCAAAATTTTGTCGTGACTTCCGTAACTATTAGTGGCGACTGTTCAAATATTCGTGTAATTATGAAGTAAAAGTAATCAGACTTCTGGAAATAATCAAAATCTCCGTTATGCGCCATCCAATCTACTCCATCTTGAATCACAGATGTGAATGAAAGCTCAGGAGAAAAAGAAAAACCCTTGGTGTAGATCGATCCCTGAAAGATGCGTCATGCATTCGACTTCAATTCGACATCAAGCATCATTAGAGGTGACTATGCGTATATCTGGACATTACAATGACTCAAAATAGTCCACCGACATATCAAGTCAGTGTTGCTATCCTCTGGAGACAAGTGTGGTACCATTTAGCCAGCCCGGACGCATGGATCGCTAGACTGAGCTTTGGATGTGCGATCGTACCGTCGACCACGTGTGTCACACCGCACTTCCTATCAATGCGCCACAAGGGTCCATTAAATGTTTATTAGGAGTATATGATGCTTGCGGTGCCATACCGGTTTACCAATTCAGTGTTTTCGAATTCTCAAATATTTAGCACCAATTTACAACCTTGAATGGCTTTAGAGCCCGGAGACCTCGGATCAAACCGATCGACGTGCCCGTACTTCTAACCACTGTGCTACACGTGCCCCCTTCGGGAGCGTAAACATCTTATGGAATCCACACTCACATGATTAAAGAACCTGGACTGTTCATTATATTCTGTCCATCGATCCAGCTAAATGTCTGCAATCGAGTAAAAGACGATGGGAGTGAGGTGAGGGGGGAGGAGGAGTCACGGTCGTCTACAAAAGTGCGTATGAGAACTCTAGCGTTCACTCTCGACAAGCCAAAAAACTATCCATATTAGTAGGAAACCACAGTCGGCAAAGCTCGATGAATGCTTCCACAAGAAGAAAAATATAGAAGCTTTCGTGTCGAAAGTAGCGACTTTCTATTGAAAGATAGAAGCCTATCTACAAACACCAAGCTTCAACAAAACTTGAAAAATCTTACTTAACCCATTGCAGACGGTATAAATCGTACACGATGCCTTGATCATCTAAAGGTCTATTTCACTAAGAGACTTTCAGCAGGATTTCCTTTCAGAGAAATTATAAATAGCTTGATAAACGTAAAAAAAAAAGATTCTAGACTACTATTCCCTTATCGGGACGCATTTTTCCAACATCCAGAAAGCAATGTGGCCTTCTTCGTTCTCATCAAACTTTTAGTGGTCATTCGATAGCTTAAATGATGGCAATATTTGAAAAATATGCGTAATTCTGAAAAGGTCTTGTTCTTGCGTTGAAGTAGCAAAATGAAACACAAATGAATTTTCGGCGCGTATTATCGCGTGCATCTGGAGATCACGTTGCGCGCAGCGTTATCAAAGTCGCCTCGAAAGGGTGCGAATTTCGTTACTGTGGAAGTCTTTTCTCCGTTTCAAATAATTTCCAGGTATTACACGTAAGATCTGTGGAAGATACTCTGCTCTGTCGTTCTATCGGCTCAGGTTCACAGTTTTATTTCATGTTGCCAGATAAACTAGCCTCAAACCTAAGCGCAGAAGTGCAGAACGTTATCTTCTTTCCGTTTTTTCAACGACTGATGACTCGAAATCAAACACAGCCCCGAAATTATCAAAATTCATGTCAACAGATAACTACTAAAAGTCTCATGAAAACCATTCACAAACCCTAACCGGCGAAGTATGCGCGCTGAGCGCAATACATGAACTTATTTCCACAGCCACATTACACTAGAGGCTTTTTCGAAAAAAAAAACCTGAAGTGTTGAAATAATCGAGGTTTAAGCTATCGAACGACTTCCAAAAATCTGAAGTAAAATGCGTCGCGATGACGAAATAGTGTCAGATTGTAACACCGTGCTTGATACTTCAGAAGGCCTTTTTAGTGCGCTGTAGCAGCAAAAAGAAAACTACGTCTCACATTGAGATTGCTTTGTCGGCTCGGCTGGCGCATTTCCTTGGTATTCTACTAGGTTTTGAATACTCTTTCAACAGCTCAGATTTCGACAATTCCAAAAAAGCGCTTGGTTTTTGACAAAGTCTTTAGACAGCGCTGCAAGAACGAAGAAAAGACAACATTTCACCAACGATGTTCGCTTTGCACATAGAAGATATAGAAGCATCAAAAGCTGATTAGCGTGTACAAAATCATAGATTGTCAGAATAAGATTCTTCTTGAAAACGAAGAAAAAGTCCTGGATAAATAACGTAAGTCGCAACCGCTTGCAAATCGCTCCGCAGTATCGGTCAAGTGTCGCCCGCGAAGGCTTGATTACACCCTCTCATTAACTTCATAATAGGCAGATGCGTACGGTGTTTTAAGCAGTTCACGATAGATCAAGCAATCCAAAATAGATGATGATACGAGGACAAATTATTTAGTGAGGAACTTATCAAACCTCGGATGGAACATTAACGGCGACTGCTGTCTCTTCACGAGTGGGCCCAGCAGATTTGTTTGGTTTTCCACCAGTTCCTCGACCACCTTTCTTTTTTCCACCGCCTTTTCTCGAGTCCACCCAATCATCATCAACCTAAAAAATGTAAAAAAACTTGATTCTCAAAATCTACCACGTCAAAACTTTATTACCTCCACCTTCTTGCGCTGAAATTGTGAACCCTTACGCTCTTGCTCAAGTATAGCCATCTAAAAAACCGAGAAAGCTTTATATAAACATTACGGAAGATTTCGAAAATATTCTAAATCCTGATATAACCAAACCTGTTCACGAGCCCATGAATCGATGCGATCGTCCAACCGCTCTATCGCCCTTGTAACCATTCGATCGGAAAACACATAGCTACCTGCACTATGAAGGTCTTTCTGTAAAGAGGAAATTTTCTCCGATATCACCAGAAAATCCTCATCATCGAATGGTACGGTGAAAGATTGGAGCGCTGACTTCACGTCGCAGACATCCGATTCTCGTACAGCCTCTGAATTTGGCAACAGATACCATCAAAGAAGTAGTGATAGCACAAGTCAGGCGAGTAGCACAGCGGTCGGAGGCGTCCTGCGACACGCAGTTGGTCAGTGGTGCTAGCTCTCCATTAAAGGCTCGCCAAGCCTTCCATCTCCCCGGATTCGACAAACTGGTAACGGATTTGTACGAAAGATTAGTAGCAATGAAAGGTTACATAGGTAGAAACCCATGAGTCACTTTGAAGGCCAAATATGCTTTGAGCAGGCCTAACTGCGCCTAGATAAAGTTGAATGCATAGAAACCCTCATGAAGTGAATCCAACACCAAAAGCTTTACTCCTTTATCGTTTATAATAACAGAGGCACCACGCCATAGACAAATTTGCGATTAAGTTATTTATTCTAAAAAGAAAGAAAAAGCTCTCAAAGTTGATCAATCCCTGACTGATATGTCATGCAAGCGAACTTCATCAAGCATGGTTAGAGGTAATCAGATGCAAAATTGGCCTTCTGAAATGAATCACGGTGGCCCATCCGTGTAATTGAGTCAGTGCTGCAATCTAGAAGAGTCGTTCCAATCCCGTCAATCTCGGAGATACAATTTAGAAGAGTCGCACCAATTCGTCAATCCCGGAGATACAATCTAGAAAAGTCGCACCAATTCGTCAACCCCGGAGATATAAAGGGCTTGGTGAGTCCCAGACGTGTGACCAAAAATGGACTGCGTTTATGTGGCAGAGTACCTCTAACTACCTGCGGTCACACAGCCCTCCATCGTGAGAAACGTCAAAGAAGCACGATAGCCGTCGCATCAGAATTTCATGTCGTGTTAGTTACTTCAAAACTATGTTTACTAACTCATCGACAGTTTTTTGAACTTCGCTTTGAACAATCAAAGTACCCAACAACGTAGCGTGATGTACAAAACGTGTCAGGCGGGACTCGAACCCGGTCTCACACTATCCCAAAAGCGTGTGCCTTAACCCACTGCACTACTGACGCTTGCTTTGCCGACACAATCAAGTATGTAAGAATATTTAGAGCCTTCTCCAGGCTGATACTTCAGAGCCATACGTACGTTTCGGCGGTGTCGTCCGCTTCATCAGTGGCCCACGCTCCACACTGACCCCTCCTTTATAGCAGGTATGGGAGACAATATTTATCGTGATTTCTTCCCAGTTGATGGATTGCAGCTGCTAGTGAATATGTAGATAGGTATCCGTTTCATCGACTGCACCATCACCATAAATAACGTCTTCCCATCCCTGCTATTAAGCATGGTTCAATGTGGGGCGTGGGCCACTGATGAAGGGGGGCGACGCCGCCGATATGTATGTATGGCTCTAACTTAACAACCTCAGAAAGGCTCCAAACATTCTCACAGGTTATGTTCACCCATAAGTATTGAGAAGGTTCTCATGCTTGCTCTGATCAGATTGAATAAATAATATTTTCCGTTTTGAAAGCAAAAAAAGTCGAATTTGTTAGAAATTATACTTCGACAACGAAATTGAACCTAAGTTAAAAACATTTTCACCTTGGACTGCAGTCACACATTGCTCAAATAGAGTCGTTGAGATCAGAACTGAAGGTAGCCGCTTCAATTTTGAAGTCGTCGTTGCCTTGCCTGAGCAGTTGAGCTACTTGTCCGTTTCTCGCTCCAGCGCTTTCACTAATGCCCAATTTTTTGAGGACACTCGTTTCTAAAACACTGGTTAACATTTTGGTTCGAAAGGGAATAGTTATTCGCATCTTAGCAGAAGCAGAACTATATAAGCAACAAAAAGAAACCGCTTACGAATAAATTCATGCTGTCGAAAAGACATTCTGTACATATGTTCGGACCAAGTTGTCGTGAATTTGAGGGATGAAAGTGCAACTGGGCGAAGTGCGCGAACCAGACAATCGACCAGGAACCTAGTAAAAACTAAAATAATGACTTTTCGAGCGAAGAGATGTGCGTATGGGAGGTCTTCATTGATTTCGTGGATATATGCCCTCTCACATTAACCTTTTGGGTACTACGTTGATCTGTACTTGTACGCGGGGCAGCCAAGCGGTTGGTGGGACGCGCTTCAATGAAAGGACAGGACTGCAAACTTCCTGATAAAAATCTAAGTTTTTCATCGGTACCAAATCTGCTCTTGTAATCAGTGGAAGATAAATTATGGTTGCAAAACTTCAACAAGGCTACGCTACACATGATAAGAACACCGCCAATGCTTTCTAATAAACAAATAATAAAAGATCTTTTCATTTGACCGCTTCTAGAGGTGATATGATAATATCGATATACCAAAAGATGTAGAGTGATGTGCAAAACTTTCGCGTCAGATGGAATTCCAACCCAAATTCTCACTCCACTACTAACACCGTTTTGACATCATTTCTACGCTGCAATACATCTATTGGTCAGCAACCAACCGTCAACAGTATGGTACGGGTAGTCGCTATCAACATTGAATCCAGTCACGCTACAGATATTGGGGTAACTGAATGATCAGATATAACTCCTTCTATTTAACCATTTCTAGCAGTGGTGCGGTCAATGTCGATACCGACTACCTGACCAAAATGTTGACGGTTGTTTGATGACAGAGTAGATGCGTTCTACCGTAGAAAGAGTGGTGAGCAAAACGGGAGTCACTGAGGCAACGGATTAGAACAGGAGCTCCCAGATAGAGTAAGATGCCGATTCGAATCTCACCTGACGCGGAAGTTTTGCACATCATTCTACATCACTGGGGAATTAAAAAAAATGCTTGTCAAAAATGACACTGCATACTGCGTAGAGATTCATATTCTACGATGAGATCGTATACTGTAAATCCTTTTTTGAAAATGTTGGTGTATTATGTTGCGAGAACTGTTATAAATCGTGTGCTGCTATAAATATGAATTCTGTGTAAAGTACGATTAAGCTGCTAGTTGTACATGTTACAAGGTAACCAAATATGCAGAATAAGGATATAAATAACAAGACATATTCATCAAATGAGTACCAGGTGTGGTGTCGCAGCGCACACCCCTTACAACAAACCCAGTAAGCTGAGCCGCGGTGCGGCAAACGAGTGACTTACATAGGTCACTTGGTACTCAACGGATTAGAAATACGACACATGAGCTAGTGACAGCGTTAGCAATGAGCTTTTCCTTTCTCATCATACCTCTCCTGCCTCCGCAAGCTCGTCGAAAGCAGACCAAAACCGGCCAATCGGTAGTCCTACACGTGATTGTATGACGCTGATCGGCAACGGCCTAGATAATCTTGAACTAAACGACGGATAGAAAAAAAAAATCAAATGTAATTTACTTTGTGATAGCAGAAAGTAATGCTCGCAGGACAGTTCTTATGGCTCTCGAGGTACTCCAAAGTATATAATGAGTCTCCATCGATCACTCCGTCGAAGTCTTGCGAGAGATGATCCAACAGCAAAGTTCGCAGAAGATCCTGAAAATCTCGATTCGAAGATAGCGAATCCATACTTAAAAACACACGACTCCATAAACGTAACAAATAAGAAACACACATTTGATAAATTCCAGTGCTTGCAAAGAGAAGCCATAGTTTGATGGCCATGCTCGGCTAGTAATGAGCGAAGCTCAGCCTGTAGGTTGACGACATACTCTCTGAAAAAAACTGCATAGTCGTTTTTGGCAAATTCTTTACCTTTTCGAATGATTTGGCAATTTTTAACCGCTCCCCTTAACATAACAGCGAACAAGTAGCCCAAATGATTCAGGCATCAAAGAGTTGGACTGGTCGACATGAGTTACAAACCCTGTTGAGGACCAGTGCTGATAAGCACGCCGTGTCGCGGGCGTCGCGTGCGCGGCACTCCTAAAAGCAGCATCTGCGTCTCTGGTGCGAGAATGTCTGCTGCCTGTCTGCGTCTGCGTCCTACAAGCCCTTCATTCTCACGATTCGAATGTCGCCGCTACAGTAGGTGATTAAGACCGTGAGAAAAATCAGAGTGAGAAAAAGGCAGAGAGTACGCTTTGGGTATGAATAACCAGTTCCTGGAAAGCAATTAGAGGCTGTAACTCAAAGAAAATGACAGGATTATGCGAAAATAGTTACAAACCAAGGCTTAATTCTTCGACCAATCTCAACTATCAACGTTATTCGTAGCTACAACCTGTGTCATTTCACGCGCTCTACTTACCCCTTTCAGTCTACTATGCTCTTGAGATAATTTCCTGTACCTCGTCCAGTTCTCACCTCTACGAATCGAAAGGTCCATTTGTAACATATATGGAATAGGAAAGGTATAGATGTTCTTTTAACTAAAATAATCTCTGTAGAAGCTTTTCTATCAGAACGTGGATCTTCTCCTCGCAACCATAATGTTGTCTCCGTTTCTCTTCCCACAAGATGTGCAGCCTTTCCCACGGGGGTGGCACCGTCAGCACAGTAGCTGAGATCTGACGCCGCGCGGCATGGGACGAAACGTCCCACGTGGCCCTTAAAGGGATAGGCCGTTTTCTTTCTAGTCAGATACTTGAGCGCCTGTGAGTTCCTTTGCCGCTTATCTTCATGATCTATTCCCTCAGAAATTCAAATCATCTCACTTTTCACTGAATTTTAATCTGACGTAATTTATTTCAGCTGCTATAATGAATGTTTGAGAGCGCATGTGGCGCAGTGGTTAGAGGTCCTCTGCGTCGCCCACAAAGGACAAGGTCAATAGTTCAATCTCGCGCTCTTGGCTCACCAAGCCATCCATCCCTCCGGAGTCGGTTAATTGGTACCAGGCAGATCTCAGACTTGTCTGGGAGGATAAGCAGCACTGACTCGGTTCAGCGGGAGGCCACCGCGAGTCATTGTAAAGGCCAGATATGCATTCAATCACCTCAAACGAGTTTAAAAATTGAAGTCGAATGCATGACGCATCCCTCAGGGATTGATCAACGCCGAGAGCTCTATCCTTTATCCTTTCAATGAATGTTGATCGTTTGGAATAATGAATATAAAGATATAAAGGTATACTCGATGACTCGACGTCATGGACAACTGTCGCGCAGCAGAGAGACGAATGGAATATGTGCTGGGGTCCGCACAATTAGTGAATATGGACCGTTCAAGTATCAAGTAAGAAAGTATGACTCGGTGAAATTTGCAAAACATTTCTAAAAAGACGAAGCCCTCGGTGCTAATCAATGCCTGAGAAATGCGCTATGCATTCGACTTCTTCGAGCAGCGTTAGAGGTGCGTAAGTGCACATATGGCCTTTGCAAAGACTCGCGGTGGCCTACCGATGTATCAAGTGAATGTTGCTAACCTCGCATAGAAATTTGGTACCAATCTACCGACTTCAAATGGCTGGAAGGCTCGGTGATCCGTGCGCGTGAAATCGAACCCGACAAGTCTCGTACCAATTCGCTAATCCCGCAGGGTTGGAAGGCTTGTTTGGCCTTAGATGGAATCCAACAATTGCCCACGTGTGCTGCAGGGCGCCTCTAAACCATTAGCCACATGCGCTCTCACGGTAGACGATATCGACATAAAGTGTGTAGCCACTGAATTTGAATTATCGCATGCTGTTAAAAACGTGTTTCGCATAATTACTGATAATAGTGCAGGCGCGTCTAGACTCTGAGGAAAGTGAAGTCGCTGGACCGCGTCATCCATCAATTTGAAGTAGATATATCAACTTTGCGCAATTTTTTGAAAAAGAACAACCCATGAGATAGATTTCTATAGACCTCCGAAACACCGATGTGTGGCCCTGGCGTACCAACCTCGTTTAGGCTGAAAACATTCTTTTTTTTTTTTAATTAATTCTCAATGTTTATCACGAGGTTTTAAAAACAGTCGATCTTATGGATTATTTTTGGTCTCTACCGCAAAAAGCCATCGACGAACAGTGGTGATGGACCAGTATCATTGTACACTATGCCATCATCACATACGCCTCCCTCTATTGATTATGCAGGGCTTGATTGGGTGCGGCGGGTGTCACTGACGAGAAGGCCGAAACCTCCGAAACACCGGTGTATGG